GGGATGCCATAGCTTATAAGGGGCAGCCTTATAAAAGCTGACAGCAACCAGTGCACTAATTAATGGATGAAAAACAACTGTCAGTAGGACTCAAATGTTTGGTGTAAAGGAAACAAAGACAAACTATGCTTTGCATTCCCCCGGTGAAGGCAGCAAATTTTCATGGTGATAATGGTGATCCTGATAGAAGAGAAATTAAAGAACCTGGAAAAAACCCTGTTGAGACTGTGCTGAATCTTGTTAAAAAACTGGTGGGCTGCTACAGATGATATTTTTTTCAGAATCTTGCCTGACAGAGTCAAATTCTTGTTGTGTCTTGACCTGTTTTGTTTCAGTTCCTGAATATACGTGCTGTGGAACAGCAGCGTTTTCTTGATGGAGGGATTTTGGAGTTTGCTTCCCGTTAGCAGTTGCTCTGTTTTTTTCTTGGTGATTCTTGTTTTGTTTTACTCCTAGCTAGTTCTCGTATCCAACGCTTTTTCATTTTGTTTCTATCCTTTCTTGAAGTTTATTTCTCATAGCTTTCATTTCTCTAGAGTACATTGCTCTTGATTTCTTTCTTTCCCTTTATCCTCCTGCTATAGCCTGCCTACTCCGAGCTTGCTCGTGTATGGCCTGATCCACTGGACTGTCTGGGGGAGTTTCTGGAAGATCTGAGCCCTTTCTCTTACGTTCTCTTGATACTTATTTTCTACGCTTCCAAGACTTCCTCTGACTTCGCTTTTCCCTTTCATTCAAGTCACTGATACGTTTCAGCTTCCCTTCCTCCATCCTCTTCTTCCATCTTTGCCTTTCTGTTCTTAGGTATTCCTCCTTCCCAGTTGTCCTCCAATGCGAGTGTTGGGGGTTCAAATCCACCAGCAGTCACAAGCTGAAGTGTCCATGGGCAAGACACTGAACCCCTCATAGCCTCTGATGTGTGTCCCATCAGTGTATGAATGTGATAAAGCTCTGATTAGTCTCTTTAGAATGATTTGTTCAATTAGCTTTGTAGAGATCTAGCAGAGTGCTGTATGGATGGGTGAATGAGGACACAGATTGTAGTGTAAAGAGCTTTGAGTATCTTGAAACAAGATAGAAAGGTGCTATATAAGTACAGTCCATTTACCATTTACCATTCCTTTAACTCTGGCTCACTGTGTATTTTCTCTCTCCTCTTATTTTGGTATTCCCTGTTTCTTCTCCTCCTCTCCTCCACAGATAGCCGCTGCCTAACCATAGCTTCCTAAAGAACATAAAGTCAAAGTTGAGTGTAATGATTATAAAATTGGGGGAATTACAGTGAATGTTAGATTTGGTTAAATGTTGTCATGACATTTTCATTTGACTTTAGTCATTAGAGATGCATATATTTGTAATGGATAATGTATACTATGTGTTATGTAGGTAGTAAATGCACTATGTGCATCCTCAATGAAGTAAGCCAAATGAACATGTGGCATAATAGTGAATTAAAAGAGAGAGTAGGCACACCTTATTCAACTGTATAGTTTATCAATAACATTATAGGTCATATTGGTATTTATTGTGATCAACAATAATATTCTAGTCTCCACTGAAGAGCCTTTGGGGGGTTTGTCACCACCATCAGATCAAAAATCTGATGGTGGTGACAGAAATCTACTCTTTCACATGCTATGGATGAGCTGTTCACATTAGCCATCTTGTTTCCCCTCTATTGCTAGCTACTTCAAACCTCATATTACAAAGTATAGATCTGTGTCATAATCTTATTTAATATTTTTTATACAAAAGATACAGTGGTGACATGTTATGGTTGCAACAGTAGCAGTGTCCAAAAATATGAACAAAGTTAAGAGAAACTAGTACACTTACATGAGCTTTAGTGGTCTTAAAGCATGCAGTAGAGCTGAAGATTAAAAAGAGGGGTCATACAAACAGCTCAGTGTGTGTTACACATGGTACCTCGCAAAGATTTAGGATCAACAAAGGTATAAAACAAGGATGTCCAATCTCTCCTTTGCTGTTTATTGCCGCTACAGAAATGCTTTCCATATCAATTAAAAATGCTCAATTCGGTCAATTATCTGTGCTAGGCAAAGAGTTTTCTATCAGTCAGTTAGCTGATGACACAACAATCTTTTTAAACAACCTGAATGAAATTCCTAAAATTCTCCAATTAATTGAACATTTTTCTAAGGCCTCAGGGCTTCAACTAAACTTAAACAAATGTGAAATTTTGCCTCTAAAAGACTGCCCTTTATCTACCGCTTTTAATATTCCGGTAAAATCTAATGTCAAATATCTGGGTGTGTATATAAATAAAAATAAGTCTGAATTAGAAAACCTTAATATTTGGGAGAAATTACAAAATTGCAAAACTCTTTTAAATAAGTGGACACACAGAGATGTATCTATTCTGGGAAGAATATATCTCACCAAAATGGAAAGTATTTCAAGGTTTATCTACCCTGCATATACATTAGGAATACCCAATTCAGCAATTAAATCTATTAATCGGACGAATTTTGATTTTATTTGGAAGCAAAAAACACACTATATCAGACAAGGTAATTTTTAACAGTTTGAAGATGGAGGATTGCAAGCTATTGAGTTTGACAGCCTGAATGGCACCTTAAAAATAAATTGGCTTTGGTCATTTTTAACCAATCAAAACGCTCTATGGTTCCATATTCCAAGCAAAATATTTTCAAATCTGGGTGGAGTTAACTTCCTTCTTAAATGTGACTTTGATGTTAAAAAGTTTTCCTTCTTTCACCAGCAAGTTTCATTATACTGGAGATTAATCTACAAACATAACTATAGCCCACACAACGCTCCCTGTGGAACTGTCGTTACATAAAAGTTAGAAATAAATCAATCTTTGCACATAAGTGGTTTGAACACGGTATTTGGTCTGTGATGCATTTATTCAATGATGGAGGTGTTATGTCTTTTGAAGATTTCACTGTTAAATATAACCTGCAAGTAAATAAAAGTGAATTTCAAAAAATTATTAGAGCTATTCCCCCAAACTTTTTATGTACAGCTAAAAGTCTTTATGAGAACCTGCTTATAGAAGTCCAGTTCTGCCTGGACTTCTGATTAATGGGCACAACATTACAAATAATAAACTTAAAAATTCTAAAATTAGGGACTTTTTTTACTAACACTCTGTTTCCCTTTGTATCTAACCCAAATTTTATTTCACATTTCTTTTCAAAGGATCAAGATAATAAAATTAGAACAAATTATTTAAATGTTCCCATTCCTCCAAAAGCTAAGGAAGTCCACTTTAAAACCTTTTCAGGGGTTTACCCCTCCAAGGAATTCCTCAGACTTGGTTTTGCAATTGATGACAGCACTTGTTCATTTTGTGATGATAATACTGAATCAACAGAACACAGTTTCTATGAACGTATGTATTGCAAAGCTTTGTGGGATGATGTGCACTACTTGCTTTTCCCTAAAATTCCAAATTTACGTGAATTTGCTAAGAATGACATTATTTTTGGATCCCTGAGAAAAGAAAAAAATCTTGAAAGGTTATTAAATGTAATTATTGTTATGGGCAAATATTTCATTCACAAGTGCTGCTTCCGTAAGACAAAACCATCATTCCCCACTTTTCACAAGGAACTCTGCCAACTCTTCTTATCTAAGACGTTCAAAGACAAACATCAAGGGGTGGAGTTGTTTCATATGATAAACAAACTGAAACTACTGGAAAACCCCTAGTCTTTAGTTGTTTATTTTTATTATTTTTGTTATTTTATTATATTTGATTCTTGTATTATTATTATTATTATCATCATATGGAAACATACAGTGCTGACATTGTGATGACATTATTATTATTATTATCATCATTATTATTTTTTAATTATTATTTCTGTTTGGAAGCAACCTGTGCTGGCTTTTTTTTTCCAGATTCGAATATCTCTGATTTTGTTGCCATATTTGTTGTAAATGCTGTTTATAAAATTAAAAAAATTAAAATTAAAATTAAAAAGGGGTCCTCAGGAATGTAGTTGACCTTGTATTGCCGGATTTTATTGTTTTTTTTATAAATAACTGACGGTGGTGACAAATATGAGGTACACATTTTGAGCAACCATAAAATAGTAGTAAATACTGTTCAAGACTCACTTTCTGTTCACTTTAATACATATTACAATAAACTCTTTCATGTGGTAAAACTATGATTCGATTAAATTATTACTTTTTTTGTTTTTTTTTAATAAAGTTGAACTAAATACCTCCTATCTGAGGACAAGTGATTTTGTAGGCAGTGGGCCAGCACATAATAGTTCAATTAATACAAACAAAACAAAACAATATTACATATGTGCAAAGGACCCTGGATGATAACCTTGATTCATTTATTTAAGAAAATGTTTTTGTTTTAATTAGAAATTAGCCCTTTTCGTACTGGGACATGTTTTTTGGCAAAGTTTCAAGAATCAGTAATAACATAAACGAGTTTATGCTGATTAAACACAAAACAAACAAAAAAACAAACAAAAAAAAAGTCTTGATTTGATGGATTATTGAGCATGAACTTTGATATTTAAACTGATTACATAAAACATTAATTGTTATGCAGCATGTAAAACACAACTTGTTCCAGAATAGATATCTAATAATTCCATTGTAATGGCGCTTTTGAGTTGATGAAACACTTTAATAAACTGTAAACATGCATCTCATGATTATCAGGTCTCTCTTGTAAATGAGTCCTCGAGGCTCAATGGGATTTACCTGTATAAATAAAGGTTGATTGATCATCTGTCTTACCTGAGACCATGACGAACATTAGGAACCCGAGCAAAGTTCTCATGTTTCTGCTGAGCTGCTGTTGACTGAATGGTGAAAGCAGCTTTCATCCTTTTATCTGGAGGTGGAAGGGAAAGTTAAAAAAGGGGAAGTTACAAATAAGCTGGAGGGGTTTCCTCCCACGCGCACGTTCACCTTTCTCACGCGGGTTACGCAGCTCCCCCCTCCCCTCCCCTCCAGTCCCGACTCATCCTCCAGCTTCACACCGCCACCAACCGGGAGAAAACTGGGAAGAAGCACCGGGACCCGGCGCTCTGTCGTCTTTCTCCGCTTGACACGAACCCACTCGTGAACAGAACGGCGGAGCTGTGCTCCAGGAGGTCGGCATGGGGGACTACGCGGCGTTTCTGCTCTTACTGGCGGCGACCTTGACGCTTCAGTCCGAGGTGAGTTACGGAGAAACCGCAGCCTATGGCGGGCTGTGGACGAGTCGCTCCCCGGGCTCAGACCCGTCCTGAGCGGGCCGCTCGCTACAAAAAGGCCCCATGCTAAAACCGAATAAAACCACCGTACAATGCGTCTTTTAACGTATATTGAGACGAGATAACATAATTGTTATTATAGCAATTTGTAGCTCTCGCTGCAATATGGTATGTCCTTATATAAATGTTCTTTAAGAGATAGTTTGTTTAAACGCCAACCTGCTAAATAAACAGATTTACTGCGTAGAATAAACAAGGCAGCGATGTGAGCAGTGTTCGAGGCCCACCATTAGATGTCAGTGATTGACAGCTCCGTACTGCTGCCATGTTGGATGTTTTGTTTGCCTCCGGATGTTTAAATGTCCACCCTTGTTCTGCTTTACGTGTTTTTAATGTACTTAAAAACAATCATATACATTTACCCGCCAAATTAAACTAGCAATGGGGTCAATGTAGCTAACCTTTGTTAGCTGTTAGAAAATGTCTGTCTTGGTGACGGACTTGTTAACGCAACAGCAAAACTGCTGTAAGCTAGCTCCTTCTGTTGACAGGCTGCATGTCAAGTCGCTTGGGTTTTTCTTAGGAAGCACTCGGTTGTGATTAGTGACACAGGGTTTGAGCATAGTTTATGTGCGGTGCACGGCCTGTCTGTTAGCGGACTTCCAGCCGCTAGCTGCGGGCAGGAGAAACTGCTGATGGAAAAAAGGATGGAGGCCGATTAGCTCCACGAAGCAAGATGGCGCCTGTAGCTGCTGCTGAGGCGGAGCAGAGATGCTGCTCAGGAGACTGAGCTGAGCCTGCGTTGTGTTAACTGGTGTTCGTGTCCATATGTCGGCCAGTGTTTATCCAATATACACTATTATATTTATTGTGAATACAGGCTGACTGTATTAACATGTAGTTGCTACCTGCTTGTCCTTCAGTGAAAAGTGTACAGTAAAATTAAGCGATCACTTCTTATCCCTTAGGGTCTATTTTTAGTGTGTTTTAAGAATAAACAAAACTTTAGGCGACAATTGTTCAAAGTTTGTCTAAAAATGTTCTTACCTTTTGAGCTTTACTGAGGAATTTTATGTATGTATTTCTGTGTTGACTGATTGTTTAGAAAAATCATTTTGGCTTTAATTGTGTAAGGATATGAATTATTAATTGTGCTTCTGGAAACACTGGAACAAATGTCTGTATATAAACCATAATAAGTTATGTTTTTATGAAATTCAATCTCTACTATTTAATTCTACTATTTAATATTATTATATACTTGAAAAAATGAATTGTTTAAATACTTTTTAAGGAACATGCAAGCAGCAACTATCAATTTTCTGCCAAATTACTTTCATATCCTGCTGGATTTAAATGTCTTGCTTTTTGTAGGGTTACCATGATTATCCAAGAATGGAAGGGTTTGTTTTTACTCATGTAATCCGATAAGATTTAATATTTAAGGGAAAGTGATTTTACTTTCTACCAGGTAGTTTTTTAGTAAAGGCCACAGGTAAAAGCGTCAACTTTCAAACTGTTAAACAGTTGTAATAGTTGCTTGATCTGTCAGACTGGTTTACACCAGTGTATTATGACTTAATCCTTCAACCAGGAAAAAGTTTGTTGACAACAAGTGGGTGGATTTGCGAATCGTCTGCCTTAAAAACTTGAGCAGGTTGTTTATATTTGGATCAACAGATTTGTACGGAATAATACAACAGTTTGCAGGGTCAAAAGACAAAAAATCTTAACTTTATATATTATTTGGTTTATTAGTTTTATTCTCTGATCTGTCATGTTGCCTTCTCACTCCCATCATTCATGAGATTTTTGACAACAAATTACCTTGTTCCTCAAAATGAGTAAAACACATGGGCTGCGTTAAACCGGACACTTAAAACATGAGCTGATGTATGAACAACAGCATTATCCTACTGGCTATTCAGGTCAGAACAAAAGCTTTTTCTGCAGAGAAAAACAATCCTCATCAGAAGGCTAAAGCTACGCAGATAAATACAGGCAAATGTCAACAAAATTTATGGCAGATCTCCGATTTCTAAAAAGTCTGACCTGATGATTCCGATTTGGGCCGATACCGATTTTGTTTTATAATCAACACTGCCAGGTGTTACAAGGTCACAATACATCTTCAATTTTCCAATCTTATTTTATTGAAAAACATACCCTTGAACAATATCCTAGAAACAATACAAACTTGTTTTAACTGGCCATGAGGTCGTGCTCTGAAATATAAATGAAGTTCAGACAATCGATGTTAAAACTAAAATAATCGGTAAAATCAGTTTCTCGTGCAAGTATCGGACGATCTCCCAAAATTAAGGAAATCGGGGCCAATAAATGGTGCACCCCTAAAATGGTCTCATTTAAAGATTGAAAAATAATGATTTTGGTCAGATTACAGAATAAGTCTTTATTCAGATATGCCCAGAAAACAAAACACACCAAGGCCATTTGTTCCTATGAATACAAACAAAGAGAATTGTGTTACAAAACTTCATACTTGCAGATACTAAAAACCTGTTTTGCATTTAAATGTTTGTTTCATGGGCAGCATGGTGGCACAACTGGTAGAGCTGCTGCCTCTCAGCGAGAAGGTTGCCAGTTCAAATCCCAGTCTGGGGGCTTTTCTGGGTGGAGTTTGCATGTTCTCTCCGTGCATGCGTGGGTTTTCTCCGGGTACTCCAGTTTCCTCACACAGACTAAAAACATGCATGTTAGGCTGATTGGTAACTAAATTGTCCCTAGGTGGGAGAGTGAATGGTTGTTTGTCTCTATGTGTCCTTGTGATGGACTGGAGACCTGTCCAGGTTGTGCCCAGCCTCTCGCACAGTGATTGCTGGACATGGGCACCAGTGACTCCCGTGACCCAAAATGGATGAAGCGGGTAAAAGATGATGGATGGATGTTTGGTTCGTAGTTCATTGTTAATTTTCTAACTCACAGTCTTATTCTCTAATGTTTGGAATGACAAAACAAACACTTTTTGCCTCCCTGTTCTAATTCATATTTCTGAGGCATCTGAAATACAAAGGGTCAAACTTTATTTTTACTGGCTGCAGCTTCAAAAAGTCATTTCTTATATTTATTTCTTGTAACACCTTGAATTTGTGGTTATGTATGTTAATTTGAGGCGGCCTTTATAGTTATTGTTTGCTTTAGACACAATCTGATGCTGAAATGAGATGGGTTAAATGTATAAAGGCTACATGAGAAGGTCTGTTGTATTCTTTTCAAATTATTTTTAGTATATTATGATTGATGTCTTTTTCTGTCCCAGGTGCCTGTGGATGACTCTGTGGGTTTGCTAACTGAGCCCCAGGTGGCCATGTTCTGCGGGAAGCTCAACATGCACATCAATGTACAGACTGGGAAATGGGAGTCCGACCCCTCTGGCTCGAAGAGCTGCATTGGCACCAAGGAGGGCATCCTGCAGTACTGCCAGGAGGTATTAACAGAGAGACAGTTCTGCGCAGAATTGTAAAGAAACAGGCACGCCAAACAGTGAATTGTCCTTTTTTATCAGGTGTACTCGGAGCTACAGATCACAAATGTAGTAGAGGCCAACCAACCCACCAGCATTCCAAACTGGTGCAAAAGAGGCCAGAAGCAGTGCCGCAGTCACACGCACATCGTGGTGCCGTACCGCTGTCTGGGTAGGTAGTTATGTATTTTAAGTGTGATGGATTAGGTTTGAAAGGAAAAACGCAACGATTAAAATTATGTCTGCGTTTGCAGTTGGAGAGTTTGTGAGTGACGCCCTGCTTGTTCCGGATAAGTGTAAGTTCCTGCACCAGGAGAGGATGGATCAATGTGAGAGTCACCTGCACTGGCACACCGTGGCCAAAGAGGTGAGGATGGGCGCTAAACAAGGACTTTATCAGTCTCATGCTGTGACCACCTCAGTTTTACTGTATCTGGTAATGTGTTGCCTCCACTTGTCTTTCCTGATTGCACTCATTAAATGACTCGTAACTCATTCTAATGTTTTTTTTTACTGTACTTGTTTAACCTCCTGTGAACAGCCTCATCATTTTATTTTTTTATGCTTCTTTTACTCCGTTTTTTTCCTCAGTGCAGTCATTTAACAATTACAGTTTTTCGTTTTATAATAATTATTTTAACTGATGCTGGAGTAAAAAGTCAGTCTTTAAGCTTCAATAACCAGTCTGAATGATTAAATGATTTAGCCGGTGATTTTCGAAGCTGTTTATATGAAAGTCACTGAAGTGATGATCAATGACTTTTGTCCTTATTTTATATGTAAATTAGTCCTGTGGCGATCGCTCGATGAATCTCCACGACTACGGAATGCTGCTGCCGTGTGGCATCGATCGTTTCCGAGGGGTGGAGTTTGTGTGCTGTCCAGCAGAGGCGGAGCATGTGACGGACAGCATGGAACAAGAAGGGGAGGAGTCTGATGTCTGGTGGGGCGGAGCTGATACAGACTACACAGACAACAGGTAACATGGTTGTCTCTGATTGTGCGCACACACACACACACACACACCTGTTGATGCATAAACTGAAGTAGTCGCTCTTGTTTCTGCAGCATGACCCGCCCAGCACACACAGAACCAGTCTTCACTGAGGACGATGAAAATGAGGATGAAGAGGAAGAGGCCTTTGAGAGGGACGAGAACGGAGATGGTGATGAAGAAGACGAGGAAGAGGACGGCCGTGAGCTCGACGAACAGAATAACGATGAGCGAAATGCTAACATCGCCATGACAACCACTACCACCACCACCACTGAATCAGTTGAGGAAGTTGTGCGAGGTAAAACATTTTTTACCTTTTGTTGTCAGTTTATACATTTCATTTCAATTTCAGAGTTTGAACTTTACGTTGAATTTAAATCTACTTGTTGTGTACACAACCTCAGCGGTGTGTTGGGCTCGAGCGGAGTCGGGCCCATGTCATGCCATGCTAAAGCGTTGGTACTTCATGCCTGAGAAGGGCCGCTGCGCTCCCTTCTTATTCGGGGGCTGTGAGGGCAACAGGAATAACTTTGAGTCGGAGGAGTACTGCCTCGCTGTCTGTAGCAGCTCGAGTAAGTCCCTGGACTGGAGCCGGACCCTGATGTGTCCATCTAACCAGCCTGAGTCCTGTCCTCAGGCTTCTGCTGAATGTTCATCGTCTCATTACTTTCTGTCTCTTGCAGTCTGATGACTTTTAACCACTCAGAGCCCTGATAACTGAATTCAGCTGAGCCCATTTTAGTGTTGTGTGGAGCATGAGAGCCTTAAAGTCATTCATCTTGTTTAAAAAGCAAATTTGTATTTTTTATTGACAAATGGAGGAGAACTATTTAAGAAGTCACAGCAAGTGTCACTTTAATACTCTGCAAACATTCAGTCAAAAGAGTTTGCTTTTACTACAGTTGGTCATCTGTGTAACGGTAAGCAGTTTTTTAACCTTTGTTTACCAGGCAAATGCACTTGAGATCACAGATCTGTTTTTATAAGAAGGCCTGGGCCTGTAGGCTAAAACAGGAAATAAAACATTTTTCAGTTTGTTATAAAACATAATGCAAAGTATCAGTTTTAAAACTTTGCTTTTGTAATTGTTGAAAACTTAAAAGTCATTAAACAAGTGACTTTTTTTCCTTAATTTATTTTATTGTCAGCAGCCTAAAAGATCAGAACAACTTTGAATCTGTTTGCAGAACATGAGTGCAGCCTTTTAGTTTACTGATTTCAGTTTTCACATCAGGGTGGACTTCTTACGGTAATACCAACAGATAGCTTCATATCGCAAACAAACAGGAGAATAATGTCTAGCCTTGTAATAAAATTAAAATGTTTTTGTCAAATATATTTTAATTTAGGAACACATTTTTTACTCAAAACATTTGGCACCAGTTTTGAGCAAACATAATTAAATATATTATTGATTATGGGCCATTTTCAGCCATTCATTAGTGAGTGTTTGAGCCAAGCAGGATTATAAACAGTGTTTTGTTATTTTAAAGTAAACTGCACCCTCTGTGTTCATGTAAATAAATAACCCGTCAAACAATTCAACAGAAAGCTTATTAGTTTAAAACAGCAGAAAAAAGGAGTTGTTACTGGAAATTCACTTGTTGAATGTATTTTGTTTGGCTTGCTGGCAGAGTGTAACATTTCTCCTGCCAGTAGGTGAATTGTTTACATTTTTTTCTGAGCCATCAGTTTGATTGGTGATGTTTGAACTCAGGTGTGTTAAAGAAAAGGACATCACATAAAAAGCCAGCAGTCCCTCAAGGAATCTTTTCCAAACAGATTCACCAATAATAGTTGTTTATCTCAAATCATTTCGTTATTTCTAACCAGAGATACTAACCGAAGCTTCTTGCAGCATGAAGACAAAGGCGTGCGAGCTCTGAACTACGTCGGCATGTGTTCCTGTTCGTGTGCATTTGCATGCCTGTGGTTTGCAGGTCTCACATCTGCCTCTGAGTTGGTCAGTGTGATAATTACGTCTGAACCACCTGAGTGTTTATGTGAAGCAGGGAGGGAGCTCTTTAAGGTTAACAGGTTTGTTGGCTTGTTCCCACCAGGAGAACTCTCCTGTGTGGTCTACTCTGACCCTGATCCTGACTCAGCTGCGCTGCCTCTTATCTGCACAACCCCACAGTAAACAACAAGCACAGATGGACGCATGCCTCACTTGTTTTGGAAAACTTTTCACCATTGGTCCTCATTTAACCCGTGTATTGTTTACAATGCTACATGTGTACTTTTTAAAAATACTTTTCCTTTTATGTCTAACTTCTTATGTGATTAACCATCTCAGTTATCACATAATTCTTTACTGTTGCATCTGAGGAGTGTATTATGTTTTACTCTAACAGATGTCACAGCTTTACTTGGATTTTTTTTATTTTCTGCATCCTTTTAACATGAACTCTTTAGCCCTTCTGGTTCAGGACCTTGTGCTCCATATTTTGTTCTCCCCTAGTCCCCACCGTGGCCCCAAGCCCTCCAGATGCTGTGGATCAGTACCTTGAATCTCCAGGAGACGACAACGAACACACCGATTTCAGGAGGGCTAAAGAAAGGCTCGAAGCCAAACATCGCGAAAAGATGTCCCAGGCACGTGTCCTTTCATCTCAAATATCTGATGGAATATTCTGTTTTCAATTAAATACGTTTATCTTCAAAAAAAGAGACTAATTTGTCAACATGAACTAATTAATTTTACTAATATAACTGTTAATGTTCAGGTGATGAGGGAGTGGGAGGAGGCGGAGAGACAATCCAAGAATCTTCCTCGTGCAGACAAAAAAGTCGTCATCCAGGTATAACTCACCAACTTTCTGCTATGTGTCCTAATCTTTCAGTAAAATTATAGAGACAGCGTCCTTAGTAACTGTTAAAGAAAATCCAGTTCTACATTTTATAAGTAGTTTTTCCTTTTGAATGTGTTATTTCTGGTTTCCGGCTCAAGCCTGTAAAATTCATGGTATGTGCAGCACTTCCAGGACAAGGTGGAGGCTCTGGAGCAGGAGGCAGCAGAGGAGCGACAGCAGCTGGTCGAGACCCACATGGCCCGAGTGGAAGCTCTGCTCAACAGCCGCCGGCGCCTGGCTCTGGATAACTACCTCAGTGCTCTGCAGGCCACCCCTCCACGGGTACAAACACAACCTTGCATGTGTCTGTGTGCACACTTCTGGACATTTTATGAGAGGGAAGAGATTAGGAGGGACAAAACACGATGCTCTTGGGGTGATCATCTCTTTAATAATTCTGCCCCCACCAGCCCCGACAGGTGCTGAGCCTGCTGAAGAAGTACGTCCGTGCAGAACAGAAGGACAGGCAGCACACGCTGAAACACTACGAACACGTTCGCACTGTCGATCCCAAAAAGGCTGCACAGATCCGACCCCAGGTGCTGGAACAGACTCTCAGAAACTTTTATTTTTATTAGAGCATTTAAAACTAGAAATTATATTTATTTTGAAAAGTTTTATATTTTATTTATTGATAATAGAACTTAGAGCGTAACCTTTTTTTATTGACCTTTAGGTTCTGACGCACCTCCGTGTGATTGATGAGCGGATGAATCAGTCAGTAGGTCTGCTCTACAAGGTGCCGAGTGTGGCTAATGAGATCCAAAAACAAGTTGGTACGTTTTCAATTCAAGTATTCATTGTTTTAAAGGTCGCATGCTTTTTAAAGGGGGTCTGTTTGGAGTCAGTAATCAGTGTCTTACCTGCAGCAGAACGTGATCACCTCTTTACAAATGTTGTACCAATCTTGGTTTCACATTATCTTAAACCAAAAAAGAAGCAATGGACAATTATGTTCAATGGAAAAATATAAACACATGCCAGACATGTTTGACTTTATCGCAGACTCAATTGATTGATGACCAGATGCATTGTTTTCTCTTAAGAACAATGGCATGTGCACATTGTTCTGAAATGAGGAAACGGTGGTAAAGTTAAGCTTTCTAAGTGATAAGGTATTTAAATATAAAAAGGTTGACTCTGCTGGGAATGTGATTGAGATTTGAGTTGTCTTCATGCTACAAAAATACTCCACACAAGTTCACTTGTTCCTCTCACTGCTAAAACTAAAGAAATACCTTTTTTGTTTACACTTTTAGAAATATGTGAGTTTTTCTTCAGATAGATTCAGCTATTGAAATATTTAAATAAAAACTATTGCTGAATATCTTATGATGTGTGATAGATTGTGCATTCAGTTGTGCAAGTGAAAGTCTGCAAAGAGTTTATTTTCAGTCAGACGGCACAAAAAGACATCCGGATGAGAAAGTATGAGCTCAGACGAGTCACAGAAAGTCACGGGGACCTGGTAACTCAGACACCAAGGAAGAGTTTTAAATGCACTCCATCATGAAGTTTGGTCATATCTTTGCCATGTTGAAATCAGATATAAATATATTGATTTGGTCTAGTTCTGCTATTTAAAGGACCCTTAACCTTGTGAAGGGTTTTACAGCATTTCTGAAGTTCACCTATGATTAATATGCCCATAAAACCAAGTTCTTACACCCAGATGTCCATGATTAGGCAGAAGTTTTTGATGATGTAACCTGGCTTGCTGTTTTTCTCTCACTCCCACCATATTTCTGCCTCCCATTCATCATCGTGCAGTTCTCGCTCTCATGGCATTCCTTTTCTTTGTAGCAATTATAGTGCAGCGTGTTCAGTCCGAGCTGTCTCAGCAAGTCTCCTCCCTGCAGAGTGACGGGCGGGTGAGTCAGGCTGCTCCCACACACATATGCCTTTGCCATATATAAATACCTCTGAATGACATTAAGTTGATACAAAGTCATGACGTGCACAGAAACTTAGATACTGACATGTTTAGAAATGGTAGATTTATGAGGAAGTCACAGTAAGACACATAGAAAACATGGTCCAATTATTGGAATCTGTTGCTCGATATAAAAAAAATAGTAATGTTGAAGTAGCTGTGTATTTAATTAGAGCCTTCAGTCTTCTTAGAAAAAGCTATCAGCACACCGCACCTTGATTGAGTTATATTTTCTCACGCTTTCTTACAAAAAGACTCAACATTTGTCAAATTGTGGGGGTGTCTCTTGTGCACTGTCGTCTAAATCCAAAACGCAAAAGGCTTCAGACTTAAATGTGCTGTTTACCATAGTTTGATCTCAAAGTATCAGTGTTCACTGGTTTAATAAGTAAATACTCATCAGGATTCAGGATGTCCTAAATAAAGTTCCTCCGTGCTCGCAGGTGGATGGCAGGGTGAGTTATGGGAACGACGCTCTGATGCCAGATCAGACCTACAGCTCTGCTCCGTTGGATCCAGGTCTGGACGGCCTGGGCTTCATTCACCCAGAGAGCTTCAACCAGCCAAACACAGAGAACCATGGTAACACACACATACACTAGAATGCACACACTTGTTCATTAGGAAACTAAATCAAAACATAGCCTGTTAATAACAGTTTAAACATTAAAAAGTTCATATAGCTTATTAAACATTATAATCCCAGCTGGACTGATAATTGATTTTTTTAAAGTCTAGTTTGGTAATTCATACCTTTTTCTGTAGTTGAGCCCGTTGATGCTCGTCCTAATCCAGAAAGAGGGCTCCCAACACGACCTGGTATGTATCTGTGCTACAATCTAATCTCATTGACACCTCAAAACGTCATGGTGGGGATAATACTTAAGACTATGATGAGTATAATACTGTAAGTGTAGACGTCTCCACAACGTTCTCATTTAAAATGGTTTACATTTTATTTTGTATGAACACTTGTGGTCGTAACTTTGCCAGTTCTTCATCTGTCACCACCACCAACTATGGTTTCACGTTTCCCCAAACTAAGAGAATTGTAAAGCGTTCAATACAAAAACAACTGGACTTTATTTGTAACAGAAGACGTTTCGCTCCTCATCCAAGGAGCTTTCTCAATTCAAAGAGCAGAGAGTAAGGGATTCAGGTTATAAGGCTGAGTGAGATAAGACACACACACATATGTAGATTGGCAGTTCACACCTAAACACCTTAACAGTAGGTCTTTGTTCATCTAATTATAATTTTGAATTCATCATGTCCTGGATGACTGAGAATCTTCACCAGCATAAGAGAATTGTCAAACTCCAGATGCATCTTTTTCTTTTTCCCACAGAAGAAAAGTCACAGAGCTAGAAGATGTTAATCATTCTTAATCATATTTGTATGATTACAAATAGCTGTAAGGCTCTGTAGTGCCTTTCACGTGTGGAGTACCTCAGGGATTTATACTTGGCCCCCTTCTGTTTTCCTTTTATTTACTCCCTCTGGGATATATTCTCTGGAAACATGGTGTTACTTTTAATTTTTATGCTGATGACAGCCAAATTTAAGGGCCATTGAAACAAGACAAACAATACTCTTTGAAACAACTCCTGGAATGTATGACAGAAGTCAGAGCCTGGATGTCACAGAATTTTTTTTACATTTTAATGAGCAAAAGACCAAGGTCTTGTTTAAGTCCAGTGATGGGTCCAAAGTCCATGCTGATCTAGGTCCTTTAACACAACATCTGACTGAGACAGCAACTAACCTGGGTGTGAGGCTGGTCAATGCTTTTAAACTAGATGCACAGATTAAATCAGTGATCAAGTCCAGCTTTTATCACTTGAGACAACTGGCCATAGTCAAACCTTTTCGGTCACAACATCATTTTGAGATTTTAATCTATGCTTACTGCAGTGTTTCCCCTACCATTATACAAGCGGGGCGCCCCGCCCCGTCAACAGAACCAAGCACCCCGTCTACCGAACCCCACCCCCACCTACCTGTCTGCACTGACGTAACGCTAAACTAGCGTCTCGCAATGCAGGTGCACTAGCTAAAAAGCTAAAAGCAGCCTCTTCCTTCACGCTGAACCCTCACGCTGAACGCACCCCCGCCACTCGAAAACTGTCAGTACAAACAGCGCACAGCTCAGATGTGCGTCTCTGTACCCCCCACCCCCCCCCCCCCCCCCCCCCCCCGGCAAAAAAACCCCAAAAAAACTGTCTGTTCAGACAGCGCGCGGCTGAGATATGTCTCAGTCTCTCTCCTCTCACACACCCAGCTCTAAAATTGTCAGTACAAACAGAACACGGCTGCCTCTGTGTCCCCCAAAACTGTTGGTTTAAACAGCACGCTGCGCAGCTTAGGACGAGTCGCCGTTCCAGCCCCCCCCCTACTGGACAAAAATCACAGACAAGATGAGCACCCCGCCATGGCAAGTTATCTAGGGGAAACACTGTATTGTATATTGCAACTTGTCTGGACTACTACGATGCACTTTACGTCGCTCTGAGCCAGTCATTACTGACTCGACTTCAGCTGGTTCAGAATGCTACTACTCACCTTTAACTGGTACCAGTTAAAGGTGAGGTGGACAAGCGTTCTCAGTCACTGACCTTAAACTGTGGAACGAGCTACCTCTGCACATCAGACAAGCTGACTCACTTCCTGTTTTTAAATCTTCTCTGAAAACACTTATTTTTCCCTCTTTGGCTTTGAACTCAGCTTGAAATATTGGTTTACTGTTTTTAATTACTTTTTTTAATTGTTTTGACAGTTTGTTGTTTTATGATTTTAACAGTTCATCACTTTTACTGTTTCAGTTGATTTTATGGTTTCTATGCTTGCTTGCATGTGTTAGTGTGCAGCACTTTGGCCAATGCCAAAGTTTTTAAAGTGCTTTATAAATAAAGTTGTATTGTATTGTATATTTGTATGTGCAATAAAGCCTTCGGTAGACAATATTTGCAAGTAAACAGTCCTAACAAGTTCTTCTATCAAGCACTCTGTGTTGTGTACACCAGTAGTTCCCAAACATTTCAGCTTCTAGCACCTAAAATAAACGTGGCAGAGACACAACTTCATCTGTCACCGGTTCTAAACACATAAACGGTGCTAATTAAACAAATGCATACTGACTACATAAACAAGCTCATCAATGGGACCTTTTTAAGGCAACTTGTTTTTATACTCTTGGAAAAATTATGGTAAATATTAGCCTTTTAAGTTAAATTTGATTTGTGGAGATCATCACATTATGGCCCCTAACTTGGCATTTTATGACCCACAGTGGGGGGTCCTGATCCTGACTTAGTGGTGTCCACTAATGCTCACCAGTGCTCACACCCAGTGGCGTCTGTGCATCTCATGTTTTTGCTCATACTTTAGTCACTTGTTTACTGTGTTCAGACATCGAATTGATTTAGATATGCAGTTTAATGAGCAGTTTAACAAGTGTACCTTTTTATTGTGATCAGTAGCTATATGTACTCGTAAACATATAGTTTGTTTCTTTTTGAAAATCAGGTCAAGTGTTCCTGAATGGAAACTCTTGAGACTTGCATAAACTTTCCCTGTAAAACTTATCAAAACAAACAGTCCAGTTAAAAAGCCTTGATTTTTAGTTTGGTTTAGCTATTTTTATGCCATATTACCATAAAAACATGTTGCCATATGAAAGGTAATGTTAAATTTATTAGAATATAACTGTTACTTCCTGTTGCTATCAAACTTTTCAACTCCTCCCCTTTTTCTACACATAGGACAATAAAAATAAAAATTAATCCTACACTACAGTAAACACTTTAATGTTTCTGTCTGTACCTGTTTTAGACCTTAATTATTGGTATTTTTATATTCTCTGTTATTTGTTATATCTTGTGTGATTCCTGGAGTATGTTCCTTTGTATTGAAACTCTGGCACAACAATCAATAAAGTTATCTTGTTTCAAAGATACGTTTACCTCTGATGCAGATTTCATGACTCAATTTATTTGTTTGCTGTCAGTTTCTGCACTGAAGCCGGAGGAGATGCCAGAAGTTCGGATGGATACTGAAGAAAGGCAGAGTACTGGATATGAAGTTTACCATCAGAAACTGGTATGGAATTCAGTACAAGAATTTCTTGTCTATTATTTTTCCCAATAATTATTTGTTTACTTGAAATTCTGTATTTTTTTTAATCAATATAAGTTTATTTCTAATAATTAACCTTATACCACAACAATACAAACATGTTTTAAAAATTATATTTTTCTGAAAGTAGTCCAGTTGTTCTTATGTTCTATTGAAATCTTTTTGTGGAACGTGCACGTTTTTGTTAATAGCTTTGTTCTTAAATTAATGCTAGGTCTTTTTCGCTGATGATGTTGGCTCCAACAAGGGAGCCATTATTGGGCTAATGGTTGGAGGAGTTGTCATAGCAACCATCATTGTGATCACTTTGGTGATGCTGAGGAAGAAACAGTACACCTCCATTCATCATGGTGTAATCGAGGTAAAAAGCTAAAACGAGAGCTTTAATTTTGAAGCGTCTTTTCATGCGGTTTTGTGTTTATCTGCGTAAGATGCAGCTGTTTTACGAAGTTTCCTCCTGTTTTGAAGGTGGATGCAGCTGTGACACCAGAGGAGCGCCACCTGGCCAAGATGCAGCAGAACGGCTACGAGAATCCCACCTACAAATTCTTTGAGCAGATGCAGAACTAAACGAACTGTTTCCCAACATTTCTTTTCGTCGTCTAGTCCCTTCCTGGCCCCCCAGCACTTAACACTTTTCAGTTTCTCACCTCGTTTGCAGACGTAAGGATGTGAGTGTTACTGCAGAGGCTGATTTTCATCCTTCATACTAAAGATAAATCTTTGCATGTGAGTCAGAAGTTTGGGCCAAAGGAAAATGGCATGGAACAAATCTTTTTTTTTTGTCTTTGTGTCATTGTACAGAGCGAAAGTGTCCCATTAACAGGTTAGACAAGGGTGCCCTGATTTACCTGCACGCTATCAGCCAATCACAGGTGTTTGTACTGGAAGAACCCTTTTGTTTATAAAATAAATATCACCTCACACTCATCTGCTCCAAACTGACCGGGCGGGGGTTCCAAGAGCTCCTTACTGCACGATTGAAGGGTTTCAAGTATGTTTTACAGAAAAGGACAAAAAGAAAAAAAAAGTTATAAATATTATACTCAAAATATATCAAAGCTGAAAATATTTGTTTTTGTTTTTTTTATGTGTAATATATTGAGAGACTAGCTGTAAGTAAATGTAGTGCATGGCAATATTGATGACTGATTAAAGTATAATGTATGTGGAGATCCTCAGGATGGGTGGGTCCTCTAGATATTTTAGCAGGATTGTATATTTGTGTCTTCTTTGTGATCTTGTGATATGAAGAAGAAAAAAGGTATTCAGAATCTGTTATGCTTTGTCGTTGCACAGATTTGGCTTTAATTGAACCTTTCTGCTCATCTCCATGCTTCAGTTGCGTTCGCTGCATGGGCAAAATGCTCGATGATGTAATTTATGACGCGTACTAGTCTAAAAGGAAGATGATCGTGTTGCTGTTTGCGTTCTATGCACTGTCATGTTTGAAGTCTTACCACCAAATATTCATTGTTTTGATGCCAACTGTCTGCACTTTGTGATTTTATTTTTAGGATCTAGGTTTAGCTTTACTTTTTTTTTTTTTAGGAAAGCATATCATTCCAAATTTAACTCTGCTGTCTTGATTGTAAATATTTGAATGTTTGAGGTTTGTCATTTCCATTTGCGCTGCTTTGTGTCCAAAGTCCCTTTTAGTTTTACCGCAACAACGCAGGAGTTGAATTATCGAAATGGATCCATTTTCCAAATGCTTCAGTCTCCACATACACCTCACTAAATGTTGTTTTCTACATTAGCCGTGTACACGCGTGCAGTGCTTCTGTTTGTCCTGTGCTCAATGTTTCTTTGCACATTTGTCTGATCTGTATTAGTCTTCAAGAGGCAACAACTGACCACAGCCGACTCCAGTAGACATGTTCAACTCTGTTAATATGAATGTGACGTGCATATTCTGCATATTATCAAAATACAACACATATCACCTCAAGAAGTGTACAGACACCGACTGAAGCTCTTAATCAGGTGAATGTTTAAAATGATTTTTTTTCCCCTCTGTGTAGTTTCATGAAACATTTGCTTAAAATATGAAAAGCTTTCTACACTCGGCATACCGTAAATAAAGTTTGAATGTACATATTGATATTTGACTGCTGCTGTTTTTCTTCAGAGGAAGCACTCCACACAAAGCTGTTAAGAAAATGCTCCTGACTTTATTCCCCCCTAGTGGACAAAAAAAGGTCCAACAATTTAGGAAATGAACACTAAATAAAAATACAAAACGGGTCCTTTTTATAAATGGAAAATATGAAAATACCTTTGCCCATGTGGCTATCAAAAACACGAAGTATCAGTATTTACAGTGGAAAAGATCCTGAACTACAGAACACCAGCTATGAACTGGGTTTTCAGTCACGCTCGAGCGTTCAGTCGGGATAACGACAATCTAATAAAGACGTTCGCTCCCCACGCTTCTGCTCGGTAGAGTTAAAGATAAAAACTTCATCTGCCTCAGTTTAACTTGCATCAAACCGTCCACACCGATCAGGGATTGGACTTCCAGCCGGCGTGGGACGGCACAATTTCCTTGCGGCAGCTGAGGAGCATGAACGTGGCCTCCTTCAGCTGTCCTTGTCGAGCGTGGTGGCCAGGGTCACGGTGGTGATGGGCTGAGCGAGGCCGTGCATGTGCAGGCGAGTCATCTTCTTCTGCTCGCACTCCGACACCAGGTTGTTGAGTTCAGCTGCGCTGTAGCCAATCAGAGTCCTCAGGTCACACACAAACTTGTAGACGAAGCGCTTGCCCTGCACCTTGCTGATCATGTCACCATCATAGTAATACCTAGAAAATACAAGTACACATAAAAAGTAGGTCAAAATTAAATCAGAATGGTGCGTTGCTGATTTAATGTCACCTTTTAGTCATGCAGTGAAAATGAAAGGCATTTCTAATCTGAACTCAAACCTATATTTGACTTTAGATCATTTAATTTGATAAAACTCAAGACTTTAAATGAAAAACTAACTTTCTGCCCTTCACCTGCATGCAAACCCTTTAAACAAAGATCACCTGCAACTGATTACGTTAAATAAATTTAGTGTTTGTTACCACTGATTTAGCTTTGGTGGCCATTTTACAGTTAATGTACGTATGTGTACATACTACTTTCAAAGAGTATCAATAAAATGATCCATCCGTTATCTTCAACAGCTTTTCTTTCTGGGCTGTTGGGATCGCTGGTGTCAATGTCCAGTAGTCACTTTAAAAACATAAGCTTTGCCATTTGATTTTTTTTTAACAATGACACCAGCTACAGTATAAACAGTGTCTGAAGATGTTTCTACACGTCGTTTCAATTAATCAGTTTTACTCAAAGAAACCAGTTCAGTGAGCTGAAACCTTTCATTTCTCTCTTGTTTTTAGCTCAACCCGGGCACAAAAACACAGCGTTCACGCTTTTGACATGGCTCCATCAGTACATTTTATTTGTGCTCTCCCTTTTGTGGATGCTTGTTTTTCCTCTGGGCCTAAATGACATTACAGCCTTTGAACCAACATGTTCCGCTTTAACTCAGGGTCGTCCCTAAACTAGTAGGTTTGAGTTCCAGTGTTTATATTTGTTTATTTAAATGTATAAAATCAATTGAAAGCAACAAACCTCAGGGCTCGACTGAGCTTCTCATAGTTCATCGTCGGCTTGTTCTTTCGTTGGCCCCATTTCTGTGCTACGAGCTCGGGCTGGTTGAGTTTGAACTCTCCCTCCTCACCGACCCAGGAGATGCAGTCTCGTGCATCTTTGTCCGTCAGGAGCTCCAGGAGGAACTGCCATAACTGGATCTGACCGTTGTTTCCTGCCACCACACAAACAGGATGAAACTATCCGGCTTTTCTGCCCGAGCGTCTACAGTGAACACTTCAGAGCCTGCGCGTGTGGTACCTGTGCGGTTTCCAGGTGAACTGCGCTCTTCTCCTGATATTCGGGGTGTTCTGGGGCCACGGTTCTGTTTGAGCACCTTTATGGCCGTAGGTGAGGTCACTTGAGTTGGAATTATTTGCACGGCTGGGGAGATGGATGAAACAAGTCAGGTGTATGCAGGTTTACAGAGAACAGACAAAGAGTTTCGACTTTAACACGACAACACTTACGCTGATCAATAGTGACCGTGGCCTCCCCTCCAGACTGATCCTGGCTGGCCAACACATCTAAAAAATAATCCCACAAAGATTAAATGATACAACAAGTTTGTTAAAAATGTACGACTCTTCCAGGATCAACGTTTCCCCTAAATAACTGGCCTTGGCAGGGCACTTGTTGGCGGTGAGGGTGGGGTTTAGTGGAGCACTACGTTACTAATGCTAGGTCGAAGCTACGTATCCTGTGGCTACAACCTCGTGGAGGAACTTTTGGCACCGGGGGTTGAGGGTGATTTTGGTAGGCAGGGTGCTCGGTTCTGTTGACAGGGTGGGGCGCCCTCCTTGAATAATGGTAGGGGAAACACTGGGGATTATTTCTTCCTTTGCCGATTTGTAAAAACACGTGACTCAACCTTCGCTCACTCACATTTGCGCAGGAGCTCCAGATGGCTCCACAGGATCTCTCCGTTGGGCACTTTCTGAAGAAACTCCTCTTGATTGAAGCCGCAGAGGTCTCGGCCTGGGATGTGAATGCTGCCGATCTCCATTTCGTCGATGTTGAACTCCTTCATGACCCACACGGCCCAGTGGATCACCTGATCAGCAGACCAGAGCATGGGGTCTGGACAACAGAAGGAAAAGCTCCATTGAAGAACCGCCTCGTCTCCCCACGTGGTTAATGCATAAACTAAAAGTTCTACTCACCGTATGGTATGCCGAGTCGGACCTGCTCTTTGCGGTAACCTTCTAGCGCAGCGGCCCAGCGTGTGACCTGCTCTGAGGTCTCATCAGACAGGGCGGACCGCTCAACTGCAATGAGCTGTCCCTCCTCCACCAAGGAGCCGTCTTCTCCGGCAGCATCGGGATCAATCACAACTTCTACCGTTTCTACTGGCTTCACTATTTCCAAAATATTCAGTTTCTCCTCTCCTAAGAAAGCAGAAAAACACAAACCATCAGGATTTAGCACACAAACTGCCATACATGTCAGCTTAAATGGAAAACTAGTATGAAACGTTTTGTAATTCCGGTGTGAACTGGCACCTGGTTTGGTTATAATCTGCAGGCTGAGCTGGACGGTGCCGTCTGTTTTTACTCCCTGGTCAAAGAGGCTGTGATCTGGATGGAGCTAAACACAAAAATAAGGCACAGTCAGTAGCACATCTACAGACCTGCTGAAATACCAACTTTCAACAAAATTATCTACTTGCCAGGATCCCATTTTCTTTTACTCTTACCGGAATATCTTGTAAGCAGATGTCAAAGGCATCCAGCGAGATTTGGATGCGAGGTTCCAGAAGCTTCTTCAAATTTCCGATTGGCTCATTGATGTCAATATCTTGCTGAATCAGATCAGATGCATTGATTGTCTGATCCTCAATGCTTTAAATTAAAAATAATATATATTTTATAGAGAGTTCAGGCTCTGGAAAGATATGCGACGTACAGGAAATGTGTGTTTATACATTTTTTTCTCTTACCCTTCTTCCAGGCACGCCTGTTTCTCCCGTTCGTCTATCTCTATCTCTATCATCTCCTCTGCCTCACTTTTAGACATGTTGTTTGGAGAGAGCTACAAGACAGTCGGTTTCACAGGAATTATTCAACAAACCTACACAAATTGTAAAAATAATTCTAAAGCAGAGAATGTTACAAAAAGTCAGATAGTGCACAGTCTGAAAAATATGAATGATGGATAATTTATATACTAGTGAATCAGCAACTGGCAGATTTTTTTGTCACCTCTGTGTCGTTTCTTCAAAACTTTGCTCCCAAACTACTTTCCTGTAAACCTTTTAAGTAGTTTTTGATCAATAATTATTTAGGCTTTCTAAAAACATTCCAACTGCTTTATGAACCCATTTTCAGTCCATTATTTAAGTACTTTCTGAATTATTTGAGATTTGCTTTATAAGTCCCATAATTCTCACCTAAGAATCATTCAGACGTTAAAACGTCTCCTAAACTCAAACGATGAACCAAACTGTGCTGACAACTTAGCAAAAAACTAAGTTGAAATTTAAATTTCACTCTACCTGCAGTCTGTCTATAAACACAGAACGGGTTCTCATTTGAAAAACACAATTTGTCATGTTCAGGCTGCTGCCTTAATATTGTATAATTTCACATTAAGTGTTTATATCTTAGATCCTTGTATACTGTTTCTTTTTATGCTTTATATTCTGTTTTTGTTCCTTGAGTACACAATTTTGTTCCACCTCATGTACCATGTGATGTGAATGACAATAAAAACCTTCACTTTAAGGCATTAAATTATATTTCAGCGCCATCAGACTGATTCCTGAAGAGCTATTAGATGCAAACATGACAAACACAAAATAGTCGATAGCATCAAAGAAAACTTTCGACGCAGTTAGCTGTACGCATATGACACATTTTGTAACACAGCAAACAGCGAGAGGGGGTGGCTGGGGAAAGAGCTGTCAGGGCCTCCCCGCTCTGGAACAAGTGGAAGATGATGGACGGATTTGAGTCTGCTTCTGTTTTAGGCTGAATTAGATGGCATGTCATTTGATTTGAAGTTGTTACTTACTTGTACAATGTCCTGCATTTACTTTTTTGTGAATTATGCTCTACAAATAGACCAAACTGAATATTTTAGTACCAACAAGGTGATTTCTAAAAGTATATCAGCTTAAAAATTTAACTTACAAGGTTCAAATATCTTTATTGTCATTCGCATCGGTGCAACTCGGGTGTTTTGACAGGAAATTGCAGCAACTAAAACCCATGAGATGAAACCCCAGTTACACCCAAAAATAGCAACGATATAAAGTAAAGAAACAGTATAAAAGGATCTAAGGTATTTGCTAAACACTAATAATGTAAAATAATGTTATATTAAACAGCAGCCCAAACATGAGTCTGAGTCGTAACTGATAGATGATGCCAAGTCATTATGTACATTTAAGAAAAAGATCAAAGCTGAATTGTTAAATATATATATATGAAGTAGCTTAATGTGTTTTTTGTATTAGAATTAGAAAAATTAGAAAGTTATTCATTTTGTTCTGTTACTTGAAAATTATCATGATTGAACTAATTGTTTGAAAAAAGGGGCAGATATAATAAGATTTGTTCTTCTTTCTGCTGCCTTTCATTTTAAATCTCCTGTATTTTTTTTATACAGTTATGAAACTGTTTTGTATTTTTAAAAATGAACAAACTTTATACCATTATGATGCATTTGTCCAATACCAGGTCTTTATGGATGTCCTTTTCTTATTAAAATACACAACTTTGGGGTACTGTTAATCAGCTGTACATAGTTTTTTGGCCTGACACTTCCACATTGAACAAAATTATGTCATGGTCAAGGAATGAGAACCAAACAGGAAATGAGTGGAAAAGGCAGAAAAAACAAGAAAAAATGAGGCCTTTAGAAAGGCTGAAGAACCAAAGATCAAGATCACGTTAAAATACTAGAAAAAGGTTTGAAAGGAAAATATGAAGTCTACTAAAGATTATAGTGGCCAGAGTGACACTTCTTTCAGTAGAACAAAACCTAATTTTAGTTCAGGTCGTTTTCATATGGACTATGCACACAAATGATTACACTCGGTCAGTTACTGCAGATATAAAAACGTGTTTAAGCTTTTAAAATAGTGATGCTAAGACGCAGTGCCATGTTTTGTGGTGGAAGGCCTCAGCCTCGACTCCTCATTGGCCGTCAGGGACAGTTCACTCACAGCCAACAGGGGCTAACTCGAGGGCGAGGCTGTTACGTTTAAAGCCTAACTAATAGGCCGTGGAAGACAAACAAATAGCACATATAGATTATTTTGTCTTAATTAAGTGCTCGGAAAAACTACATAGAATTCCAAACAGCTAGCGTGGCTATGAAAATAGCTTCGGTCTGTTTAACATGCTAGCTACAAAATGATCAGCGGCGCGTGGGCGAGGCAGCATTACACAACCGTGGATCTGCGCGTGCTAAACAAGCGTCAAAATATCCCGAAAACGCACAAAGCGTCGTGACTTTAACGCGTCTTTATTAGAGCACTCTATAACTCTGGATGGAGAAAACTTTTAAAACGGAAATAGAATAAACGGAAACAAAACAGCATAGGGCAAATGGAAAGGAGCCGGAAATCCTGGCTAAAGGGTTTACAGGCGTCGTTAAGACTTCCGAGAGCAGCTCTGATCGGTGCAACTCGGGTGTTTTGACAGGAAATTGCAGCATCTAAAACCCAATGCGTGTTTAACAGCGGCCGATTATTAATAACTAGATTTTTCTAAAGAAATATGGACTAAAAAGCAGCTTTTGTGCGTCGGTTTGGATACCTACTGTGCGTTTTGTAGCCGGACGGTGCTCAGCGGCAGCTTCTCGCCTGAACCACGACTGCTCAGATTTAAGCTAACCAGCTGAGGCTCTCTGGACACAGTTTCTCCTTTTGCAGCAAAGAAGAAACACTTTAAACTGCTTTCTATGATAAAGTTAGCCTAGCTTTCCACTTAAAGTCGTTGTGCTTTCTGGCTTACTGGGGTGGGCGGCCTCTTCCCAGTACGCTCACTAGCATAAAGGCTAGCTGCGTTAGCTTTGCTAGTAGAGCTACAAAATAGCGGGAAGGGAGTCGGACCCCTCACATGACCACAGTCAAGACGCTCATATTTAAACCATCCGTACCTTTTACAGCTCACACTTAAAGATGATCAAAAAATATTCTGCTGTTGGAGATAAACAATCAAAATCCATACGCTCGAGTTGTTTCTTGCAAGTTTTGGGCCAACTACGGTGTAATGTTAGGGAGGGGCGGGGCCTAACTGGTAATACTGAACCTGGAAAAATAACTTCTAGTACACAAAAATGTGGAGTTGTCCCACTTTTAACCTGTTTTCAGCAATACTTTGACTAAAAAAACTTTTGTTAGACACGTGTATCCATAAGAAAGTTATCCTCAAATGAAGCTGAACAAAGATGTTTGTAGTGATGTCTTATTTCCCCTCAATTAAATTCATAATAGATATTTTTGTCTTGTTCTATTTCCTTTGTGTGAGTCTTGGCTTTTGTGTACTCATATACTTTTCTCATCTTAATTTAGATATTCATGCTTTATGTAGAAAAGCTCAGTAATTAATTGGTAACCACAAAGGGTGTTTAAAACAATAGTTTACGTGATTATTTAGTAGAGCTAGATTTTTCTTATGAAACATTTAAATCCTCTACTGGTAAGAAACACCTGTGGAGGCTCACAGATGTGCTTATAGAGCATGTTGTTTATTTGTTGAGTATGTGCAAAGTGTCTACGTGGCTTCATGCATATATTAATTTATCAGTATATGTTTTGTGCAGTAGAGGTTATGTGGTTAATAAATAGAGGTTTATTGCTCCATATTTCTATCAATTCCTAATTTGTATGGTTCAAAAATCGGACAAAGTACATTTATTTCACATTTTTTTTCCACTATTTTTGCTTTTTGTATAGATGACATAAATACAGTATGTTGCGCATAAGTGTCAAGTTTGCGAATTACATTCACTATTAAAAAAAGATGTTTAGTGTTTTTTTTTTATGTCTTTCAAATTGTAAATTGCAAATTATAACCCCTAATCTGTTGTGATGTGTCACACTAATCATTGAATGCATGTAAAAAAAATATTTGCCATTTATGTAGACTTAAAATATCTGAGTTCCAGTTTTGTGGCACCAACATAGACATAGTTTGTAGCATAAACAGTTCCCAATAATTTTACTTGTTAATAAATCTTTGGAATCCAGGAAAAGTTAAACAAATTTGCATTTCTAAAGTCAAACTATTTTATCTGCTATGTACGTTCCCAGATAAATTATAGTGGAGTTATTCAACATCTTACCAGGGTTGAAACTAGTTTCTAACAAACTTAAATTATCATAGAAAATAATGTAAAGTTCTAGATAAAAAAAAGGCTTTTTGCATAATTTGCTTTTGTTGTTCAGGAACAATAAAAAGAATAAAACATAGTTACACTTGCTGATGATCGGAGGTTGGTAGACTGATTTGTTTTAATCCATATTTTAGGAGGAAAAGTTCTGATTAATTTTGCTCTTATTCTGAAAAATCGTAGAGCCGGAAGTGTTCGAGCTGATGCTGCCTGTTTGAACACAGGCGAGCCAAAATGGCAGAATACCTCGCATCTATTTTCGGGACAGAGAAAGATAAGTGAGTCATTATGGTTTACTTGTTTGAATTATAGTGCTTTAATAGATTCTCTTTTAGTTCACCCAAAGCTTAATTTGATTAGCGGAACTCAGTCGTGTTTGGAGACGGAGACACTGCAAGCACAATGGCTTTAGCAATAGCTAGTGCTAATAAGCTAACGCACATCGACAGTTTGTGCGTTAGGTAACCGGCAGAAGAGGAAATAAATAGATATAAACCATTATTTATTGTTAAGTTAAGGAATACACTCCAACTTGAGTATTGGGGTTACGCAAACCTATAGCTGCTTTTTATCCAGTTGACACATTTCTTTGTACCGCTAGATGGCCAATGCTAGTAGAGACTGGCTCCGTTCCTTATCTGTACACCGGCGCTTGATCAAGCTAAAAGTAACAACGAGGGAGGAGTTTATTTCGCATGCGTCGAAGACTGAGCGCAAGCTCCGCCTACCTGGTTCTGTTCTACGTGTGCCGGCGTATAAATGGCGATTCCCGGTTTTTTCCAATGAACATCGCGGCCCTTCCCCACCAATTTATCGACCCCGCAGAGTACTGAGAACAAATACCTGTACAGTTCTTCATATCCACAATTAACGTATGAGCGTTGAACTATTGATTTATTTTTTTAATAATTATGACCGACGTTCTTTAATGAATGAAAAGACCAAGAAGAAACTATTATCATTTATCCTCCAGCTGCCGTTCAGTCAAAATGACACAGCTGAGGCATTGTTGGTCATTTTGACCCAAGGCAGCAGGAGGGTTGAAGCTAAAGCACAAATACAGGCTTTGAGTTGGACATACATGTATATTTATTATATTAGATTGAAATGGCCTCATGATGTGACCCGAAATGCTTCTAATGGTTTATAAAATAATATCTAATTAATTTTTGAGGCCTGTTTTTGTTCAACTCATCTCATTTTCATGTAACGTTTGTGTTTTTCAGAGTCAATTGCTCTTTTTATTTTAAAATTGGTGCCTGTCGACATGGTGACCGCTGCTCCAGATTACACAACAAGCCAACATTTAGCCAGGTAAACTCACAGCCTTGTTTTTTTTAATAATAGTTTTTTGCTTCATGTCGAAATCACAAAATAAAGCTTTTTTTTGTTGTTGTTGTTTTTGACACACTGTGGCATTTGCAGTCTGAATTACCAAAAGTTGTAAAATTAATTATAATCCACACAATTTATTGCAAGGACATTATGTTTGCAGTTCAAACAGATTCAGAATTAATCAGAAATAAAGTCAGATGTAATATAAAACGTCACTTTTAAACAAAAATCTCAATTAATTGTGTTTTACTGTGGAGATATTCGATCTTGATGCTTGTCTTAAATTGTCCAGTAATAAAACTACTGTGTTTCAGACGATTGCCCTGCTGAACATTTACCGGAACCCTCAGAACAACACTCAGTCTCTGGACGGTCTGACCTGTGAGTGAAAATCCAGAAAGCAGCCAAGACTGCTTTGTTTTTTGTGTTTGACACCAGCGCTGCTGCAAGTCAGCAGCAAATAAGTTTTTAACAGACATTAAATGTCAGAATAATATCTCTGAAATATGCTACGTCTTTGAAATGTTTGGTGCTACTTTTTTATTTATCTTTGAAGTATCTTTCATATGTAAAAGTGACCAATAATTGTTTTTTCGACTGTTGTTAAACAGTAAATCTTAAACTTGGGAGGGTTTAAAATAAATCTTTTCAGTAAACAAAATTATAAAACAAATCATCAGTAATAAGAGTCGAAAAGAACCACTACAATTACAAACAGGAAAACTAAAGCTATACTAGCAATAAATAGTATAAATCTGTTGTTTCCATTTGCCTGTCTGCACTTCAAACATTCAGTTTTCATATTAAGCAGCACACGACCTGTGATATGAACAAAAACTGAACCTGTTAAGTCGGAACGTGCAACATCTTACGTTAGTTTAGTGTGTCTGACATTTCACCAAAACTTGTTGACTGTTGTTTCAGGCCAAGTATAATAAACACTTCTTTAAAAAATAGCCTTTAATACCAAAACTTACATTTTTAAATGTTAATGCCACTTGTTAATTATTGCAGTGTCAGAGCAACACCTTTCAGAGAAAGAAATCGACTTATTTTCAGATTTTACTTTAGAAGCAAAGTACCAAAGTATCCATCCATCCATTATCTTTACCCACCTTCTTTGTTTTTTGGGTCATGAGGGTCACTGATGCCCATATCCAGCAGTCACTGTGTGAGAGGTGGCCTGGACAGGTCTCCAGTCCATCACAGGGACACATAGGGACAAACAACCATTCCCTCTCTCACTCACACCTAGGGGCAATTTAGAGTTACCAGTCAGCCTAACATGCATGTTTTTGGTCTGTGGGAGGAAACTGGAGTACCCGGAGAAAACACATGCCTGCACGGAGAGAACATGCAAACTCCACCCAGAAAGGCCCCCGACTGGGATTTGAGCCATAGTATGCTCGCTGAGAGGCGACAGCTCATATCTCTTTAGAAATAATGTCTGAAAACAAATTCATGAAGGGTTTGCTGTATTATTAAGGAATGGTTAACTGTGTGAAAGGAAAAGTGAGATTTTATTTCAAGCAAAATAAATATTTAATATGACCATCAAGCCATAGAGTAAAGTTTGTAAGGCAGGTGGAACCACTGTCACACATGTTCTGTAAAAAAAAGGTTTGATACACGAACAGGTGTGACGTAGGAACACAGATGTGAAAGGGTAGGAAAGCGCTGAAACTAACCTGGAAGGAAATTTAGACACTTATAATTTAATGTGTTTAATTCTTTCTTATAACCACCAGGTACCGTCAGTGACATGGAGATGCAGGAGCACTACGATGAATTTTTTGAGGTAACTCATTTACTGCTACTTCTCCACCCCCCCATGATTTAAAAAAAGAAAAACAAATGTTGTTTTTTTCTTATTAAAGAAAAGATGTACCCATATTTAAAATGACAGGAAGTCCTGATGAAAATTATGCATAAAAAAAATGGTATTAAAAGTGCTGATTTTAAAATATCAGGAATAATAAAAAAACGAACAATTACAAAACTCTGAATCCCAGACTTAAAAAAAGAAAATAATTTTTTTAAGCAAGGCGGTTGCTCCTATTAACAGCTACACGCGTACGTCTCACTCGTTGCGTTTCTTTCCCATCAGGAAGTCTTCACAGAGATGGAAGAAAAGTACGGAGAGGTGGAGGAAATGAACGTCTGTGACAACCTCGGGGACCACCTGGTGGGAAATGTTTACGTGAAGGTGAGGCCTAAACGCCCACGTGCGTTCCCCTTTTTTGTACAATTGTGATGGTTTCGTTATTTTGCAAGCCAAGCATGTACTTTAAAATGATCATTTTTTTCCTCGTCTTTTGTAGTTTCGTAATGAAGAAGATGCCGAGAAGGCTGTGATAGATTTGAATAATCGCTGGTTTAATGGACAACCCATCCACGCTGAGCTGTCTCCTGTTACAGACTTCAGAGAGGCCTGCTGTCGCCAGTATGAGATGGGGTGAGTGCGACTCGAGGTCACAGCCTCTCTGTGTTATGTAGGCAGAAAGAGCTATTTCAATACTCTGTAGTCTTTTTATAACAGTTTCCTGCTCATTACTTATACAAAATGCAGATCTTAGTAAACAAATTTAGGAAAATCCTAGAAGTACATAGTTTTTTTTATCCCTCACCTGCTGCAATACGTTCATATTTATAGTTTTAACCTCAGTTTTGAAACCCCTGTGTTTTAGCCCTGATTTGACTTTAGTTGTGTAAGTGCACAGTTTTAACTCCTTACAGGGAATGCACCCGTGGAGGCTTCTGTAACTTCATGCATCTGAAACCCATTTCACGTGAACTGAGGAGAGAGCTGTACGGGCGTCGCAGGAAGGGGTACGAACGTCGGCTCATTAACAGTCAGAAACGTTCGTGCTGCTGCCCGTGGACTTGTTTCATAGAAATGTATTCTTCTTCTCACCTCCAGCCGCCACAGGTCTCGGTCCCGATCAAGAGACAGAGACAGAGGCCGAGGGGGCGGCCGCGACCACGACAGGCGTCGTCCCAGAGACAGAGAGCGTTCGGGACGATTCTGAGCTTCAAACCAGGACTTCTGCTCCCCCCTTTGTCCCTGTATCCATCACTGTCTTTTTTAAGTTTCTACACAAGCAGATTTGTTGTAGGATTAACAGAGAGGTGGTCAGTATGAAGCTTTGGCAGTGTTGTTTTAAACTGATTTCTGAAAATAACTTTCAACTCAATAAAGTAAATGTTTTCTTAACAAAACTAATTCCTGACTGTTGTTTATGAGCATTGTTCTGGACGAATGGTTCAAATGAGTGTGTTTATAGTACTGAATAAAATTTTGTAAAAAAAAAAATTAAAAACACAATTTAAAAGATCTTTATAGGGTTTGAAGACCAACAGGCCAAGAACAGTTTTTTGCTCATTGGTAGCTTCACGTAAAAAAAACATTCAATTTGTTCGAAAAAAAAAAGTTAAATCTGGTCCTCTGGACATTCAAAAAAACAAAACAAAAACCCAGTTGTTGTTTTTTTTTTGTTGAATGTCCAGAGGACCAGATTTAACTTAGATTTTTCTACCTGGATTCTTGAGCATGCATCAGGATATTCAGTTTGCTATGACTGCGCTCAATATCAGGTCTGAACTTTCTAGTTTTGGCTGCTTTCAATAAATATGAGAACTGGGTGTTTTTTATTTCTCATTAGGGGAAAAAGCCAAGATGGTGGTCAACCCAATCTCAAAGGTAAAGCTGTTTCCTCGAGAACAAGAACATTTTGGACAGGAATGAAGGAATCATTCACTCTTCTCCCCTGGTTTCACCACATTTCACACCTTTAGATGTGACTGAAACGACACACACCGGTTTTGTTGATTAAACATCTTGTGAGTGACGACTGAGAATGACTGAATGGGTCGTGACTTAACGACCCGCCTTAATCAAAACCAGAAAGCTTAAAAATGACTTCAAGGAACAAGAATGAAAGTCAAATAGCCTAAGGTTCAAGGTTCTTTGATGTCATTCACATCACGTGGTACGTTATGAAATTGTGTTCTCAAGGCCCCAGTCACACCCAAAAATACCAAAAATATAAAGTCTAAAAAGAAACAGTATGCAAGGATCTAAGATAAATGCTAAACACTAATGATGTAAACTAATAAGGTGTATTAAACAGCAGCCTGAACTTGAGTGTTGTGAGCAGATGGGTATGAATACAGCAACGTATTGGTAAGAAATCAGCAGCATGAATAAAGTGACCTCAGTTAAAGTATCACAGTGATTTTCCTGGTTAAGGATTCATGATTCTTAACAGCTTCAAGGTAGAAGCTGTTCCTCAGTCTAGTGGTTCTGCACTTAATGCTCCACAACTTCCTCCCTGAGGTGAGTGGGGCAAAAAGTGTGTGTGCTGGGTGAGTGGGGTCCTTCATGATGCAGGTGGCCCTCTTCCTGCATCTGGAAGTGGAAATGTCTGTGATGGTGGGGAGGCTGACTCCCAACAACCTACTGGTAAACATTTCTAATAATATTAAAAATGGTGCACAAGAATTAAAAAAAGGTTTTTGCTGTATAATAAAGATAATTACTGAAGGAGCTCCAAACTTTTGATGCTTTTTAAAAGAGTCTAAAGGTCAATTCCTTAAGCTGATCCATCCAGCCATTATCTTACGCTTATTCCAAAGTCAGGACTCAGGGGCAGCAGCTTGAGCAGGGAGGCCCAGACATCTCCACAGCCACCTCTTCCAGCAGGATTCCAAGGTGTTCCCAGGCCCACCAAGAGACGTAGTCACTCCAGCGGGTCCTGGGTCTTCCCCGGGTTTCCTCTCAGTTGGACATGCCTGAAGCACCTCTCTAGGGAGGTGCCCATGGAGCATCCTTACCAGATGCCCGAACCACCTCAGCTGGCTCCTCTTGATGTGGAGGAGCAGTGGTCCTACTCCTGAGTCTGTCCCAGATAACTGAACTTCTCACCCTGTCTCTAAGAGAGAGTCCAGCTACCCTGCAGAGGAAACTCATTTCAACCACCTGTATCTGTGATCTCATTCTTTCGGTCACTACCCAGAGTTCATGACCATAGGTGAAGGTAGGAACATAGACTGACCAGTAAACAGAGAGCTTTGCCTTACACCTCTGCTCCCTCTTCACCACAACGCACCGACACAGTCTGCAATACTGCACCAATACACCAATCCATCTGTCAATCTCACGCTCCATTCTTCCCTCATTCGTGAACAAAACCCTGAGATCCTTGAACTCCTCCACTTGAGGCAGAACCTCACCCTTGTCCTGAAGAAAGCAATCCAACCTTTTCTGACTGAGGACCATGGCCTCATTTGGAGGTGCCGATTCTCATCCCAGCAGCTTCACTCGGCTGCAAACCGCTCCAGTGAGAGCTGAAGATCACGGCACGATGACGCCAACAGGACCACATCATCTGCAAAGAGCAGAGATGAAATCCTGAGGCCACTGAACTGGACTCCTGAGGCCACTAAACTGGACTCCTGAGGCCACTGAACTGGACTCCTGAGGCCACTGAACTGGACTCCCTCCGCCCCCTGGCTGCACCGAGAAATTCTGTCCATAAAAGTTATGAACAGAATCGGTGAAAACGAGCAGCCCTGATGGAGTCCAACTCCCACCGTTAGTGGGAAAGCGTTGCTGATTCTTATGATAAATATTGCAGAAAAAAATGAAGTGGTTTTCATCTTGAACAGCTTCAGTTCCACAATCATTTACAGAATCAACACAGCCTCTCATCCCTTGGTATGTAAGACCACCTATGGCGACAAAGATCTGCTATTCTTGTTTCAAATGTTCAGCAAATACCTTCAGGCACACATTTAAACTGTAAAAAGGATTGTAGATTTTGGGTGTTTTGTATACTTGAGTGCCTTGCTGTGTGAGCATGGCTGTGCAAACACTGATTTAAAATACTTAATAGAGCATTATAATCACCTTCCAGACATTACAAAACTTAGTGAATGCAGTAGACTTTTAACACGACCAACCAAAGTCTTTTTGCCAACAGTGTCTAACACTTGTGTGGATATCTATAAAAATCCATTTTAGTAACTTTAACCAGTAGAGTACACACCACATATGTGTCAAACTCAAGGGCCAAATGTGGCCCTCGTTGACATCTTATCTGCCCCCCATGTTATTTTAAACGTAAAATACTTTGTTCACTTTAATTTTTTTCAGTAATCTTTGATTATGATGTTAAAAGTGCAACAAAGAATATCAAATGAGACCAGTCAACTGTTTTTTGAGGAGCCTGCAACCAAGAAATGTTGTTGTGTATCTAACTTGAGTTAATGTAGATTCTGAAACCAGACCTTTGTTTGAAAAAGGTTTTAATTTTGGCCCCTTTTGTGAGTGAGTTGAATCTCCCTGTTCACCAAGAACAGCTTGACTGCTGTTGACCTTCAGAAGTCTTCTGCAGAACTAGATCTGTCTTTGTTTTATACATCTTTACATTTTATGTACTCATATCTTTTATTTTCTTTACACCAGAACATTTATAATCAAGCTGAGCGGCTGATTTTTTTCCACGTCTTTGTTGATGGAAAAGGAGTATTTTGCAGAAAAAAAAACAATTTAAAGTTTTAGAACAACCACAAGTTGAAGCAGACATATTTTCTGTGCAGTTTGTTAAACATTTAACGAGTAAAAGTACGTCAACTATAGAAGATGTGAAATCTCTTGAAAGAAAACAACTGTTTGCACAGTTTGCAGCAGGTTTTAACAATCCTGCGGGGGCAGGGGGTGTGATGAGCCCCACTCTTCAAAAGCAATAAAAACTTTTTAATCTTATGTACTGTTTTAAATTGAACCACCTAATTTTAAAGAATGCAAAAATGTGCAATCCTTATTCAAACTATGCACGCTGAATTGAAGAGTTTTAAAAGTGAGGGAACTGGTTCTCCCCCAGTTGCCTCTGAGTGGTTTGGTCCTCTTCATAAAGACCCCCACATACCCCCACACAGATTGTGTTGACAAGTCTTTGGCTGTGTGTCAGTGGTGCCAACCCTCCTCCAGTAAGTACCGTCTTTTAAAACTCCACAGGAAAACAAAACAGCTCAGGATGTTGTTGTTTTATTTTAGATTTAAATCAATTTTTTCTTAATGTTGCCAGGATTTGTTCTCTTAATTAATATTTAGTTCAAAATCAGTAAAACTACTAAGACTTTTAATGTATATCCGTCAACTGAACAAACATTTAAAACATCATAAATATACATTTTCTTACTGGCATTTCTCGATGCTCTGCAGAACTTTGTTCAAATTATAAAATGTGGATTTTGCACGAGTCTCTAATGCTTTTTTAGTTAACTTGCTCTTGATTAGAAGATTCAAAGTTTGTTCTTTGATTTCTTGACAAAAGTTGTACTTTAAAACTATTTAGATAAGAGAAAAATCATTATAACCTAAAAATAATCTTTTTTTGGTTCTCTCTTGTAATTGTATTTTCAGTCAGAAAATCAGTTTCTATCCAAATTATTAACTTTGGTTTCAGTTATTTTCTGGGGCTGATGGGATCAGATTGGTCAGTTATTCAGAGTTTGTTTGAGGAGGAGGGACCTCCGTCTGCTTCTTTAACTCTGAAAGTAATGAATCTGAGGTGAATCCTGTCAGCGATTCGTTCAGCTGAGTGTCCCTCACTGAGAGGAAACTGCCTCTCTCAGCAAAATCAGAAATGCAAAATTTCTTTTTATAAATACCAATCTGCACCTGTTCTCACATTCTCTCTTTCCCCCACTATATTTAGCCTCATGATGTTTCTTCAGAAGTTGCATTTTCTTTTAGTTTGGAATCAAAGCGGCGTCAAAAACATTTTAAATTTTAAGATTTTTACTATGAAGATCTCTTTGTACTATAAATCAGCTTACATGGATTAGTTGATGGCTTGCTGATTGTCTGAAACAAAGTAAGCTTTTAATTTTCTGACTTTTAGTGATTATTGCTCCAATGTGCTGCAACTTCAGCGTCAATGTGAATCGACCGATCAAGTATTAGAAGTTTTGATGTCGAACAACAATAATCTACTCTCCCATCTCTGTTTTTGTGGAAGTGAGAAGAGTTCAGATCTTTGATGTGGAGTTCTATAGAAATGTTATGAACAATCAATATCTTACCTGTTGTAGAGAAAGCTTTGAATGACCTCAATTTGGAAAAATGAGTTTAATTCTGACCTGACTGATGAGAAGCAGCAAAATTCAAACTACATTGTCTGTATTGTTTTCTAAACAAAAAATGAACAACTCCA